AAGATGACGTTTACGTCATCATTTTAGTTTGTAGTATAGACAAACTACAGCGATTTGTGAATATTTTTGATGAAGCTTCAGATATGTTAGACGTTAGTCAGATACAAACTGTATTCCTAATCTGCATGTATCCGACAAAGATAGACGCTGTTTTCATGTTGCACGATCGATCATATTTGAAAGATGAATAGTTAGGTTGTGTTAAAGCAGGTTAGGTTGTTTTCGAATAATACTTTCGTCTTTGGTGATCCTGTCTTAAGGTATTCCACTCATAACTGGTTTTTTTCAAAACAAAACTCCCCACTAAAATTATTATTTAGGTATCACCAAAACCATGAAATAAAATGAAAATAAAAATAATCAGTGAAATAACCTAACTTCCCAAAATCATAATATAAATTTGTTGTCATTATGTTCCTGACATCGTGATTTTATCATCGACGTACGTCCATTGATTACTTCAGTACAATTCATGGTATGACGAAATATTCGTGTTTTTGACTATAGCAATGAAAGCTGAACTTCGCCTTTTCCGGGTGGAAATTCATATCTTTTACCTTGCCTTCAATGAATAAAGATTATTGTTATTATTATATCACTCTTTCCCTAGCTTCTTTACGCTGGTGTATTTTGGTTGGGGATATCATGTGAATATCGCCTTAACCAAAGGGATGGTACCATTTCTGGAAAGTAGTATTTTTTGCGTATACGAGTATGCATAATTTGTTGGTAAATATAAGGTTCCAGTTCTAGCTCTTCATGGGATTTAAATAGGTGTCGTGGTATAGTTCCCATATTGGATGTCACTATCTGTATGGTTTCAACCCTATCTACTCCATTTGTCTTTTAATTCATATCTAAGATCGATATATTTATTGTTCGTCTCTGCAAAAGTTTTTAGTATGTTTGTGTCATTATATCAATGAGCAAGACCTTCCTTTCCATTTTGTTCCATAAGGTGATATCGGTACGGGTATCACGTATCTTGAAAAGTGACATTATGCCGATTTTTTTTGACGTTATGCTGGTTTTTTTGACATTATGTAGGTTATTCTACAAGATGTTAACTCAGCACATAGTTGTACGTGTTGCCTAAACGTCAAGAGGCTTGTTATACATCTTTGGCTTTGATGTGATGTAAAATCTGCTTCTGAGATGGCATTACTGGAGGTAAATAAAAATGAGAAAGATAAGAAATAATTATATTCAATGTACACTGTCGAATTACAAGCCATAACATGCTAACAGTAATTCAAACAACGCGGGCGCGGTGATGGTTTCCTCAGTTTTTCGTAATATATAACTTTGAACATAACCTCTCTTCAGAAAGCACAACATATAAATAACCCGTCATATTCAGTAATGATTTTCTCACACAGCAAATATCACTGATTTGATACGCATGCAGACCGATACACATAATCATCCAGATGCGATCTTGCTATTCAACCAACTTTCTTCTCAGTGATAAAAACTACAGCCCCGGATCACTCAGCCTCACAAAACTATGCAACCAATAATGCAATAATACGTAGTTGAGTGATTCCCCCATAGATGGACGTTCACAACGATCCTAGTGAGCAAACGTGGGATGACTGTCTGCGCCCTAAAAACTACCTAGTCTGCAAGTTGACATCGAATAGGTTTTTTTTGACGTTTTATAGGTTTTTTACATGATACCCGTGCTGGTCTATTCTGAGCTAGGCTCTTGTCTGTGAGGAAGCTTCTGGCCAGTATATTTCGTATTCTGTGTGCTCTAGGAAGGTTTTAGGTTGCTATTGGTAGTACCTTCTTTTTTCAATTAGGCTCTTGGAGGAGAATTTTGCCGACGCCGTCATATCTTCGTTTGTATTCTGTTTGTGCTATATTCTCACAATCCCTATTATATTATCATTATTGAAAGGAAAAGAGAAAAATAGGCAAACATACTAAGCTGCTGTTCCATTACCAACTAGCCACTCCTCACACCGTGAGGTAAGCAACTAGTTGGTCCGCAAATCGTGTAGATGGAGGGAAGCGAGTATGATCGCTTTCTGCATTCTTCCTGCTAAGATCCGGTATGGATTTTGTTGCATCGTCATCCCTCCCATGGCCATAACTAGCAGACTGACAGTGTGGTCCGGCCAAAGCCTGCGAAGCTGATTGAGGAGCTTCTGATATTTGGTACTGACGATGTTCACTTCGCCTGAAGCCAAAAATTTAATAACGAACATCGCCTTCTGTTCGTGGTCGAGGAGAACTATGTCGGGCTTAATCGCCTGCTCCGGCTCGACCGCGGGAACGAGTAATTCCAGTAAATCCGGCATATCTCGTTCTCCACACCGGACTCAATATCCCCCTGTAGCATAGGGCAGCACAGGTGTTTTAACTGTACCGTAGGGTTGCTTCAATTGTAGTATAGTACTCGCAGAGCTACGTTGTTCTGATAAACTTAAGCGGATATTACAGGGTTTGTCCGGAAAGTAATAGGACTGAGTCGATTTAAAAAAATTTATTGAGCCAATCGTTACAATTCTTTAAAAAATTCAAAATAGGCTCCTTCTTCGTCGATGCAGCGCTGCCAGCGCGATTTCCAAGCATTGAAGGCGTCACGGAAGGCATTCTCCGGAATAGCCTTGAGAGCCGCGGTGCATGCTGCTTGGATCCCCTCTGTAGGGCGGCTGCGGAAGCGTTGGGATGCTGACCTTGGTCAGCTAGCTGTTCACAAGAAAGGCGGTGTGAGCCGAGGCGTTGTCGTGCTGCATCTTCCAGTCGGATGCGATGTCTTGTCGAACCCGACTGACCCTTCGTTTGAGTCTCCTGAGCACTTCCACGTAAAACTTGGCGTTGACAGTTTGTCCAGGAGGAACAACTTCATGGTGGACGATGCCTTTGATGTCAAAAAAGACAATGAGCATCGTTTTCACTTTGGATTTGCTCATTCTTCCCTTTTTTGGGCGAGAAGGCGCCGTGGTGTGCCACTCAGAAGATTGCCTCTTTGTCTTGGGATCATTCTCAAAGATCCACGACTCGTCACCTGTGATTACGTTATTCAAAAATTGGGGGTCACTTTCACACATGTTCAAATTTTCTTGGCACCCTTCCACTCGCCGCAATTTCTGGTCGTCAGTGAGCACTTTTGGGACCATTTTCGCGCACACCTTGCGCATGTTAAAATGCTGAGTCACGATGTCATGAACCACAGATTTTGGTAAATTTAACATCTGGGCAATTAAACGAATCCTTAGTCGACAGTCTGAGTTCAAAACTTTGCGTACACGAGTCACATTATCGGTGTTTGTCGAAGTCGAAGGTCTTCCAGCACGGTCTTCATCAGCGACCTCTTCCCGGCCCTCCAAAAAGGCCTGGTGCCACCGAAACACACCACTTCTTGCTAAAGCAACACCTGGGTAAGCTTGCTTGATAATATCAAACGTATCTGTCGCAGATTTACCGAGTTTCTCACAGGAACACGTCGCGCAAAAATGCCTGTCCTGACTCTCCAAGTGCTCGGAGATAACTGACCAGCCGTTCATTCGTTAGCTAGGAACGCCCTCTACCGAATCCAGTCGGTGCGCACACACTCCGAAGTACAGTCTTGGCGGAAGAAAATGAGTCCTATTACTTTCCGGACAGACCCTGTATTTTACACGATGACAAGAGATGGATAAGCGTCTCTGGCGTGTCTTGACATGCCCTGCGGTTAATAATTCCCTATTGTGAAAAGATTCAATGGGCGTCAGATCTGGTAATATTGGCCACAGGAAGCTCAGTGCTTGTGGCTGACGTGACCCCAGGCCAAAGCAAAATACGGGGTCTAGTTTGCAGTTGGAGGAAATCGGAGAGCAAGGGATAGAAACTACATAATATTTTTTTGAAAATTTCGTTTGATTTTTGGGCATTTAGTGGTCCTCATCAAGCTGGGAATGGATTCCGTGAGTTCAACGAGTAAAGACGGAATATCGTACACATGCAGTACCACCAATCGATAATTGATGTATTTGGCAAATTATTTTATAGCCCAGTTTAAACAACATTCTGCTCGCAGTTTATAGACGTGATTTTGGCAAAATGAAGCTACTTGCCACAGAACAAGAGTCACTATGGACGAATGCTATCGAACAACTTCCAGAGCTGTTTCCACATTATTTGATATCTCCATTCGGTGTTGCATGGCCACCACTATCACCAGGACTGACCCTGGTGCATGTCTACCCCTGAGAGAACCACAATAGCAAGACTTTCGTTTATGCTAAGAATTTTGAACGCGCTATGGCTCATCGTGTAACGAAAAATGTCCAATATAAATGATGACAAGCTGCCATGACGTAAACTTCAAAAAATATAATTTGGCGGTTCGATTTTATTAAAAATATTTTCGCCGAAATGCTTTTTACTTCCCACGCCACCGGCGAGGAACTGTGGCAATCGCGAACAACTTCGAAAATGACTGAAAATGTCTTTTGATAATCACATAACATTTACATCACGAAAAATAGTATCACTCAATTCCGTCTGTCTGTTTGCCGCTCTGCCCTCAAATCCTTCGAAAGTGCTGCTCAGGTTTTGATCAAATTTTCACAAAAGAGTACTACTATGCCAAGGTCGAAAACGCCGTGTAATTTTGGAAAATCGGGCCTGTGGCGGCGGAGCTAAGGGCAGAAAATGAAAAAAACAAAAATCGCTCAAATTTCATTTTTTAACGTTTTAGAGACATTTTCAGCAACATTTTTCTACGGATAAAGAATTATTTTTTTATGTAAGTAGATTTCGGGCTTATTCATAGCCATTCGTGTAGCAATGTTGCCGTTGCTTATCAAAAGACTCCGAATTGTAGACACATTTGTATAGACCTATTTGACTAATTTGATTAGATACTTTATTTTACGTTTGTAATTGACTTTCAGATAGGAGCCAACTTACGCTAATTGTGATTTTGTATGAACTAATGATGGAAAGTGCTGAATGAACGTACCTGACGCTATTTTTTTTTAGATTCTGAATTGAATTTTTCTTTTCAGGAGTGGGATAGTAGCTTGCCGGGCGTAAGAGAGTATCCAGAAGTACGACTGGCAGCAAAAAGGTGGCAGGAACAGCAGGATGGCCAAAGGATACTGTTGACAACCGCCAGCGTTCTTCTGGGGTACAGAGTAGAGGTGTACAGAGCTGAAGGCACCACCCAGTGGTACACTGCCGTCATCATCGGATACAACGAAGCTACAGGGGTAAGATTCTATATCCTATTCAAATCTCATTTCCTCTCGTCAAAACAAACATGTGCACGCGATCGTCGTTTTTTTCCCCTTGTTGCTGCCTGCCCAGGCATTTATAAGCCGGTATCCACTAGGATCGCAAGTATTTGAATATCGCACTCTGGCTATTGTTTCGATGGAGGGTAAAGAAGGTTAAATACACCATAGATATTTGCAACGTTTTCCTAAGTTCTTTCGGTATATTCATTTTGAAAGATACGGGTTCGACAGAAAAATGTATCTGGTTAAAAAAAATGTAATTGAGTAAAACTGTGCCTCTTCGCTTTCGATGTTGAATCGGCTGATTCACCACAAAATAAAATCCGGCCCTGCTGTGATCTGGCCTCATGACAAAAATTCATTCTTCTGTTTCTCTAATTACCTGAGTGTACGGAATTTTTTTTCGCTTGAATTCACGGATAACGAAAATGGAGGTTCTGTAGCCAAGAATGCAAAATTCAAATTTTCGCTGGTGACACTTTGATTTATAACACTGGACAACAAATTTTAGTTTTTTAATTGTATCTTGTGGGAAAAGTGTACTTCTTTGTGAATTTTGGGGCGCTGAGTCCAAAAATGACAATGAAATAAAAAAATTAGTTGCGGCTTAGAAAAAATCTTTTTATTTTTAAGGATATATTAAAAAAAGTAACAAGATTCATATACTTATAAGAATCACTATATGCGCTGTCTTTTTGCTATTCTTTTATGGATCGTTTCTGGAGCATCTCTACCAAGAGTAAAACAGTAGTCTGCAAGCATGGAAGGAATCCACTTTCCCTGGTACCTTTTTTCCATTGTTGAAATATCCTGATGCAAACGTTCGCCGTGCTCATCACTTACGGCTCCGCAATTGTCAGGAAAAAAGTCCAGGTGTGAGTGTAGGAAATGTATCTTAAGAGAGATATTATAGCCTATCTTTTGATACGATGACAGCATATTTTTGACAAGGGTTTTATAGATGTCAGCTTTTCTATTTCCCAAGAAATTAGTGACCACCAGACGGAAATCATTCCAAGCAGTTTTTCCAATACCTGTTAAAGTGTTTTCAAACTGTGTATCTTTCAAAATATTTCGAATCTGTGGCCCAACAAAAATACCTTCTTTAACCTTTGCCTCACTTGGTCTTGGAAATTTCTGACGCAGGTATTGAAAAGCTGACCCATCTCTATCTAAGGCCTTGACAAAGTTTTTCATTAGGCCCAACTTGATATGCAGTGGTGGTAATAAATTTTTTTTCGAATCTACTAATGGCATATGCTGTACATTTTTTTGACCTGGCTCTAGGAATTGACGAACAGGTCAGTTTTGTCTGGTGTAATGAAGTGCCTTTGCCCGACTGTCCCATTCACACAAAAAACAGCAAAACTTTGTGTAGCCTAGCTGCAGCCCAAGTAAAAGTGTAACAACTTTCAAATCGCCACAAATATGCCATTGGTGCTGATCGTATTTTATGCATGTCAATAGGTACTTCATATTGTCAGATGATTCTTTCATGTGAACTGCATACCCTACAGGAAGAGATGGTAAAATATTTCCAATATGCAATAACACTGCCTTTAAACTCAATGTTGAACTGTCTATAAACAATCTCCATTCTTCAGGGTTATAGTTTATATTAAAATCCGCCAGTAAGCCGTTAATGTTACTGCAGAAAACCAAGTTATTCTCCATATTGAAAAAGTCTTTGTGGCGTTTACGAAAAACACATACGGAAACATCGTCTTCTAACAAGTTCCACTGCTGCAGTCTTGATCCAAGTAACTCTGCCTTACATTTTGGAAGTTCTAAATCTCTTACAAGATCATTTAATTCTGACTGTGTTATTTTGTGCGATTGGTGGCATGACGTGCTCGGTATAAAATGAGGATCTCTTGACGTTGATGGCATATCTTCTTCCTGACGAAACACTCGATCGCCATGATCTGATTCGTTTTCTGATTCGCAAGTGTAGGATTCTGGGGGTTTTGGAATAGGATTTTCGTCACTGTGAGGCACAGGTCTCATCGCAGATGGTATGTTTGGGTAGTTAATAACCGATTTTTTTTTCTTGGACATACCTGTGGCTTGTCCAACACAAGGTACCATGCAAAAGTAACAATCATTAACATGATTTGTAGACTCTCTCCAAACCATTGGGACAGCAAAGCGCATAGACCGTTTTTTGCCATTTAACCAGCTCCTCAGACTTGAAGCACATGTATTACAGCAGATGTGGGGTGCCCACTGTTTGTCTTGATCACCTAGTTTACAACCGAAATAAAGCTGATATGCCTTTGTTATTAGTGGAGTAATAGACCGTCTCTGAGACGCAAAAGTCACATTACCACACAGGTAACAAAACTGATCTGGATTGTTTACACACTTTCGAGACATCTTGCATGAACGCTGTCAGCCAACTGAGGAAAAAATGGCTAATATAAAACAATATAATGTACACGTATGTATAACGTAACACAATCATGCCGATTACATCATCTTTCCTTGCCGAATATAAAAATGTAGCACGTGCATTCTTTTGAATTACAGTATATTAACACTGTCACAGCAGGAACACATATAATTACCGTATCTCTAAAACTTGAACTAATATTGAAAAAATAAGTTTCATTCCGGTTTTAGCACATTAAAAATAGTAATATTTTGTTGATTTTATTTAGGATATTTTTTGGCTGTTGATCAGTGTAACGGGTGATTTTTTAAGAGGATTTGATTTTCAAAAAAAAAACACAAAAAAATTTGAAAAAACGATTAAATCTTTATTTGAGTCGATAGAACGGTCGATATAATTTAATGTTTAAAGATTATTCATGTAAATGTTGGCCGCGGCTCCGCTTTAGATGGCCCATGCGCAAGGTCCAATTTTGGCACACTCTCTCCAACATATCGGCCGGTATCTCACGAATAAATGCTTCAATATTGGCTTCCAGTGCGTCAATCGTTGCTGGTTTATCCCTGTAGACATTAGCCTTAACAAGAGGATTTGATTTTCAAAAAAAAAACACAAAAAAATTTGAAAAAACGATTAAATCTTTATTTGAGTCTATAGAACGGTCGATATAATTTAATGTTTAAAGATTATTTCATGTAAATGTTGGCCGCGGCTCCGCTTTAGATGGCCCATGCGCAAGGTCCAATTTTGGCACACTCTCTCCAACATATCGGCCGGTATCTCACGAATAAATGCTTCAATATTGGCTTCCAGTGCGTCAATCGTTGCTGGTTTATCCCTCTAGACATTAGCCTTAACATGGCCCCACAAGAAATAGTCCAACGGCGTTAAATCACACGATCTAGGCGGCCAATTGACGGGCCCCAAACGTGTGATAAACTGTTCACCGAACTCGCCTCTCAATAGGGCCATTGTTTCGTGTGCGGTGTGGCATGTGGCACCGTCTTGTTGAAACCACATGTCAGCCAAGTCCAGCTCTCCCATTTTGGGCAAAAAAAGTTTGTTATCATCGCACGGTAGGGCTCGCCATTCACAGTTACGTTCCGGCCATTGTTGTCTTTGAAGAAGTACGGCCCGATGATGCCACCGGCCTATAATCCACACCAAACAGTGATTCTTTCGGGATGCATTGGTAGCTCTTGCAATGCTTCTGGCTGGTCTTCACTCCAGATGCGGCAATTTTGCTTGTTAACGTACCCATTCAACCAGAAATGAGCTTCGTCGCTGAACACAATTCTTCGATAAAAATATGGATCTTCCTCCAACTTTGCCAGCGCCCATTCACCAAATTGAAAACGTTGTGAGAGGTCGTGTGGCTTCAATTCTTGCACCAGCTGTATCTTATAAGGTTTTACACCCAAATACTGTCGCAAAATTTTCCACGTAGTGGAGTAACAGAGGCCCAATTGCTGCGAACGGCGGCGAATCGACATTTCACGGTCATCACTAACACTGGCCGCAATATTTTCTTCGGTCCTCACTCTACGTCTGCGTGTTGGTGGTTTAATGTCCAATAATGTAAACTGGGTTCGAAATTTAGTCACAAGCTTCCGAATAGCTCCCTCAGTAGGCCGACCAAATTGCCCATAAACTGGAAGCAGTGCTCGATGCACTCTCTTAACCGAGCATCGATTTTGATAAAAAAATTCAATAATTTGCAAGCGTTATTCGTTCGTAAGTCGATTCATGGTTAAATTATAGACCAAACTGAACAAGTTTGACAATGACACAAGACACGATTCACGCGTCGTCTGTCAAAAACAGTGTTGCCAAAAAGATACTAGCAAAAAAATCACCCATTATAAGTATTAAAAATAGTCAGTCTGGTATCTTTTATATAAATAAAGACTTGGAACTTGTTTCAAAATGTTCAACAGACTCAAATTAAATACAGGTGAAACTAAAGCTATCTTAAATGGTAAAAACAAATGTATAAATCTTCAACTGAAGATTTATGGTGAAGATATTGAATTCGTAGAAAATTTTAAATACATTGAAGTTTTCGTTAACTCTCAATTAAATTTTGATATACTTATGAGAAAATTATAACCAAGATTTGTACAAAAGTGGGATATTTCAAGACTTTCTGGATGTCTGAGATAATGTGATAGAAAAAGTCTTGCAAATTCTTCTACTGTTCGACTATTCTATATTTAGCTAATAATTCCGTGTTTGAAAAACTGGATTCGAAAAATGCTTAGCAAATTAAAACGGTTCAATTTGAAACATTACCAGAAATAAAGATGTCTTTCATTTAATACCCAAAAAGTATAATATATGTTACAAATCTGTATTCCATCAAAGATTGATTGATTATAATAAATTAATCACAGAGATAAAAGACTTCAGTACCTTGAAAACATTCAAAGTAAAATTGTGGATAATTAAATCTACAATATAGTTAGCCCAGCATGTGCATCATATGGCTTGAATTTATTAATTTGTTTATACGTATATAGCCAAAACAGCTAATTAAATCTTATTTACCACTACGACTACTAGTACACCAGATATAATAGTA